GCTTTGAGTTTTCTTCCTTTATCTGAAAGCTAATTTTTCTGATCATTAACGGCAGATTGTTTCCTTTTTCCCAGCATCCTTGGTTCGGGCTCCATCATTTGTCTGATTATTCCCAGACTCAGCCATACGCCTGAGGTCAGTCACTCCAGCCGGTTCAGGCTCACATCTGGGCCGGGCTCTGGTGTCGCAGCACATCTTTAAAGCTGCTGTCCTGTTGTTGGTTTTGCAGCTGCAGCCTCTGTTCCAGCTCAGCGTTGCCGACCTGCTGCTGGCTGCCTGCTGGCTGATCGGAGCCGTCCTCTACTCGCAGCGCTGCAACCAGCTCAGCCTGCTCTGCTACAACCTGCACACCGTGGAGCAGGTAGCCATCCCTCTGCTGCTTCTGGGGTTTTTAGGGGAAAGTTTTTTAGAAATATCAGTGAAAATGTGAGGAATTTCCATGAGTTGTATTTAGAGCCGTCCCGTTTCCTCCTAATGCACAAAACCTTCACTGTTAGGAAATAACAGCTTCCTTAAAAACCCATCTGAGGCTAAAACCGCAGGCAGGGAACCAACGTGTACATAACAAGCTGTAGTCTGTCCTAATGCTTTGATCCGGTTTCTAACTAAACACAGAACTGGTGTGAATACCAGGACGTCCACGACCAAGACATGCCAACGTAGGGGAAGTAGTTAATTACCATTAGTGAAATAAATAACAAAAAAATCCGTAGGAAGGATGAAGGCTGTTCTGCTAAATGCATATTATGCATTAACCCAGTTTAGCTTGAATAATCAATGATATTAACACTTTCAGGGTTAGCAAACATGTCAATTCAATTCTATTCAGTTTATTTCTATAGCTCCAATTCACATCATGTCATCTCAGGTCACTTTCCAGTTCACCAGATCATCCAGTGATTGATTTAAAGTTTTCTATCTAAGGAAAACCAGCTGATTGCATCGACTCATCGGCTACATTCACACTGAATGCCTTAATGCTCAATTTCGGGGTTTTTTTGTGAAATCCTTTTTTTTTTTTTTTGCGTTGCCGTTCATATTTCCAAATATATGCGACTCCTATGTGATCTCCTGTGTGAACTGCAGTCATACAACGCAAGTGTCCCGCATGCGATGACATCACAGGCTAGCGTGTTTACGGAAGTAAACATGGATGGTAGCGATCTTTCCCAACCATAAAAACGCAATCTTTTCAATATGGTCAAACATAAATACTGCTCTCTGCATCGTCATCCGCCACGGTTGTTGTTTTTCTTGGCGCTTCTGCGTAGCAAGACGCAGAATCGTGACCTTTGTCGGGTATTAATGACGTTCAGGTCGGATGAATGCGACCTGCCCGTTCAGACACAGGTCGCATTTGAAAAGATCCGATTCGTATCGTTTTCAGGACCACAGAGCCAAGTGGCCTGGCATTGACTCTTCAGCAATCCCTCACACTAAGCATGCTTGTAGCGACAGTGGAGAGGAAAAACTCCCTTTTAAGAAGACGAAAACCTCCAGCAGAACCAGGCTCAGTGTGAGCAGCCAGCACCGTGGGGTTAATGGTCTTACTCAGGGACCCAGAGGGGCAGTTTTTGGGAGTGGGTTTCAAACTCACAACCTCAGGATCTCTATGCAGTAACCACTAGGCCGCTAAAAAAAAATATATTTTTAAGGCTGTCCCTAATGTGCAGCATCAGAGGAGCAGTCTGGGGTCAACGCACCCTGGATTACAGGTTCTATGCACCAATCTCTAGGACACCACCTCCGCTACTTTCATGAGATTTGATACCTTGAGGTAGTATAAGTCAATTGAATATGGATTCAATTCTGGCACGCTACACTTTTTGTTCCTCTCTGTAAGCTGATAAAGCAGAAGTGCAAATGACATGAATATTTTTATAAAAATAACAGAACCCGAGGATGCAGCTTTGAGGAACGCTTCTTCACTTGTTTTTCTTTTTAACTCGTACATAAACCTAAAAAAAACCTCAATCAGATGACATGCCTTCTAAATGGGTTATTCTGAAAGTAACTTTTAATGTCATGAGTTTTTATTTTTAAGTGGGGCTGTACTAACCTGGAGTTGAACCCAGAACATCTGTTTTCTCTTCACAATCTGGATTTTCCCTCCAGAACAGCAAAGCTACCGTCATGGTCAACATCTGGCGTAAAAAGCAGCAGCTAAACCCTCTGAGGTTTATCGCACACATCTGGCCTTGATGTGTTTGGAACAATTAGGGCTGAAAATATTTATTGGATAAATTGATAAATAGTTTAGTGATGGATGTTGACTGGAGTATAAACAGTCTGGAAGATAATCTTTGCTAAAAGAATAACTCAGTCAGAGAATTCAATTCTATGCAGTTTATTTCTATAGCTCCAATTCACATCATGTCATCTCAGGTCACTTTCCAGTTCACCAGATCATCCAGTCAGATTGATTCAAAGTTTCCTATCTAAGGAAAACCAGCTGATTGCATCGACTCATTGACTCTTCAGCAATCCCTCACACTAAGCATGCTTGTAGCGACAGTGGAGAGGAAAAACTCCCTTTGAACAGGAAGAAACCTCCATCAGAACCAGGCTCAGTGTGAGCGGCCATCTGCTGAGGCCCACTGGGGTTCAAGGAGACAGAAGCAGACATAGAAAAAGAAGCATAGATACAAAAGGCAACTGTCAACCAGCTCCACAGGCGGCCCCGTCCAGGAAACACACAGCCAGGCAGAGGAGAGAAGTCACTAAACCAAAACCTGACAATAATAAAAGCTTTTTATTAACTGTGAACAAACCTTCCTGGTCTAAAAGAACAAATTGAAACTAACTTGGATCTTTTGTTTGAGCGTTTTCTCTCCAGAAGCTTCTGGACCTGAACTGATGTTGGTGTCTGAAATGTTGATGTTTAATACAGGAAACTTTTTTTTTTAGCATCCTTTGCTACACATGCTAAAGTTAACCGTAAAGATATGCTGGGTTATGAAACGTTGATTTCAGTTATAGAGAAGAACATTCATTTCCGTGCATCATTTTTGGTGTTTTTATCATGAAATAATCATAAGTGCATTAAAAAAAGAATTTTTTGATGACTTTTTTTTTTTTTTTACCCAATATCTCGATGAATTTTCAGAATGTTCAATTGATAAAATGATCGCTAGCCGGAGACCTTATCATAAACCGCTAACGTCTGTTTCCAAACTCCCACTCAGATGGTTGGTTCTTCATGAACCGCCGCCTGGATGTCTCGATGCTGATGAAACCTTAAACCGTTGTTCTGTCAGATCAGCGTACCTATAGTCAGTAAACATGATCAAGACGTCCCATTGGTGGTTACGTCTTTAGTTTTGTACGGAAAATAGAGTTTAAACTACCTCAACAGACGTCCTTTTATCCCCAGAGGGTCTTAGGAGCAAATTCTGGCCAAAATTCCACGTGTGAATTAAGGCAAGTCCAGCTCCCAAACTATAAATAGGAAATACAATTGTTTATATTTGTAT